TGGTGCTAAGTCTCATGACTTGTTTAAGATCCTTGATATTTTTATTTCTGAAAATAATTTGGAGTGGACCAAATGCATTTGTATCTGTACTAATGGTGCTTATTCTATGTCCAGATGTTATGGAGGAGTGTAAGCACTTTTTCGAAGCAAAGACCCTGATGCATTGTTGACCCATTGCATTATTCACAGGGAAGTACTCACATCAAAATATCTGAGTCCTACATTGAACCAAAATATGTAGTACATGTAGTAAACTTCATAAAAAATGGCCATTGAAGGCAGGATTTTTCAAAAAACTATGTGAGGATATTGGATTCGAGCACACGTCTTTGTTGCACAACAGCACTTCAAGAAAGTTCAAAACATTACCATGAGCAAGCGATGTCTCTCTCGAGGTAGTGTTTTGTCTTGTACATTTGAACTGCCACAGGAAATTTATATTATTCTTAATGAGGAAGACCACAAGTATGCCGAAAATTTTGTGAATGAAGATTTTTTTTCGTAAAACTGACATACAATATGTGCTATTTTTGAAAAACTGAATGCTTTGAATCTCTGCCTGCAGGGAAACAATATGCAACTTTTAAAGTGGATTGAGAAAATGTCAGCTTTTATAAAAAAAATTAAAACTATGGAAAAGTAAAATAAATGAAGACGGAGGAAAAGAATGTTTCCCCATGATGCAACAGATTTTGACCTCCAGTAGAGTTGATTTCTCTCGAGGTATGAAATCTAGTTTGGAGAACATTTATCACATTTTATCAGATGGTTTCAGAGATATTTTTAAAATAATAGTATTGATAAATTTGCATGGATTCAATATGCCAATGCTCCATCTGAATTTACTGCTGCTGAAGAAGAGAATCTTATTGAGTTGTCTAGCGACAATACGTTGAAAATAAAATTTAGCAACATGTAATTAACCGAATTTTGGATATCAGTAAAAGATGAATATCCCTTCTGAGTGGTAATGCTCAGAGAATCAATTCCATTTGCAACTTCTTATTTGTGCGAAACTGAGTTTGTAGCTATGATAAAAACTAAGCATTGCACGAAAATCAATCTGGAGAAGGAAATGAAGATGGCTGTGTCCAGTTTGATCTCAAGATTTGAGGAAATGTGCGGTGATCAACAGGCTCATTCATCCCACTAATTATAATTAATTAAATTTGTTCAATTACATTTTTTTGTTCTGTTAAATACGTGTTTTATTTATTTTTTGCTTAACGTCCTAACTCTTATATTAAAAAAAATATTGGATATTTCGCTATTTCACAAATTGTACTTGTTAGAATTTGACTTAGGGTGCCTTCGGAAAATCTCGATTTAGCAAGGGTGTCAAGAATGAAAAAAGTTTGGGAACCACTGCCTTAACATCTAAATCTCTATATCCCTGGCTGGGACAAAAGTACAGTTACAAACTAATGGGTTTTGAACTATTAGAGTTCAAATTAATGAAGATTTCTTGCTTAGATGTCCATATAAGAGTCCATATTAGATGTCCATATTGTGAATATCTATAATTCTTATAAATGGTAAACATTTTTAATATCTATTCATTATCTTTAAATATAAATGAATGGAATTCTTTTAAAATTCTGTTATAATATTAAAATTATATTATTTTGCAAATAATAATTTAATGCAAAATTTTTAAGAGCCAACTTTTTATGATAAAATTACATTTTATTGAATGTGCATTTAATTTTAATTTATTGAATAATTTGTTGATATATTAAAGAGAATTAGGCAAATTAAAACAATTGTTATTTGAAGCTTTCCTTAAATATGTTTTATTTTGCATGAAATGTTTTTCTGTTAATCTAATATTAATGTATACATTTTCTTTAACATTAAAATAAATTAATATATATTTTTTATGCTAAATTATTAGAAATTTTAAAATATTTTCAATATAAAATTAACAATTTCTGGATTTCAAAATTTTTAAAGCATTTTTTGAAAATTTTTGTTTTTTTTACTATGTTATAATTTAAACATAGTTTTGAATAGAATTTTATACAATTAATGTCTATATTTTTACAGACATTAATTGTACAAATATAAGACTTCATAAAATTAACTGTAGTACAGTTAATTTTATGAAGTCTTATGTATAATTTAAATTTATATTAGATAATAGATAATAAAATTAGATAATACAGATGATCATTTTTTATTTAATTTTTAAATTTTTTTATTTTACTCATTAGATTAGATTTACTCATTTTTAGCAACATATTGTAAAAAAAGAAATTATCAACTTAGCATGTGAATGTGGTTTTATTTCATTTAATATATAAAATATTGTATCATCAGAAAGTACAGTAGAATCTCTGTAGTTTATTACTTTCCAGTCCGACACTTACAGTAATCTGTAAGGTCCTGTAGGGTGGCACACATGAAATTTTCATGTATACCTTTTTGATGTATGTGACAAAGAGATACTATGTACAATATGTGTATACTGTCAGTTACTAATTTTTTATTGCACATGTTGACAAAACAGTCACAATTGTGATTAATATATGAACCAAGTGTGTTTTTTTTTCTGTACATACATACAAAATCCAGTAATCCAACAATCTTCTGTAATCTGATATCTGCCAGTCTGATATATGTCAGATTACAGAGAGATGACTATATTGAGACATAAAATTATAGAAGGAAAAAACCTCATTTCTAATGAAAATTTTGAATTTTTTTTAACATTTTTTAAAAACTTTTTGCTTAAACTTTTGTTTAGAATTTTTTATGCTTAATTTTAAAATATGAAAAAATATAATTTTTTTTAAATTTACAGGTCTTAGTTAAAACTAAATATTTATTATGTCTAATTGAAGTTTGTTTTAATAATTAGTCATGTTCTTTCTCCTGTATAAATGTCATATTTATTTATCAATTAGAATAAAACACAATTAAACATATATATCACTCCATATCAAAAAGTTAAAAATAAAGTAACACACTGTCTTTCAATGTTAAAAACTTACATTAAAGTAATTCTAAATCTAAGCAAGTACTGTTGACAGCCTTTTATATCTGTTATCTTTAGGCAAGAAAATTTGAAAATCAAATGACATGATATAAAAACAAATTGGTTGGAATAGAATACAATTCAAATTCTTAGATTCAAATACAAATTAATAAAAGAACAAGAAAATGTTTTCTAGTTCTAGTACATTTTTTGTTAGTGGTTATAGAATGTTTGTAAGTTAAATTTATATCCATTTCTGCTCAGTTAATTTCTGTGTTCTGTGTGTCGTGTTGTGTTCTCTTTATTTCCTTAAGTTTAATATTCAGCAATGTATGTTTACTTATTATTTTATTAATTAATTTGTATTTGAGTCTAAGAATTTGAATTTGTATTCTATTCCAACTGATTTATTTTGTAATGTGCCATTTGATTTTTGAATTTTGTTGCCTGAAAATGATACACAAAACATTCTCAAAATTACTTTTTTTATTTTGAATTGATTTAATACAGTATAAATTTTTAATATTGAAAGACAGCATGTGTTTCTTTATTTAAAATGATATATATATATGTAAGCAATTATTTATATGTGTGTATGTATGTATATTGTTTTTTAATTGAAAAATTACAATCTGGAACTAAATAACTGTTTAAAATTAGAAAAATGTTTACAATATAAAAAGTTAAATAGAAAATTTTAATTTTCCAATTAGTAAGAATATAGTTTTTATGTTTCTTTATTATAGAAACATGTTTCAGGGATGTTATGGTTGGTAATTAAATATATATTTTTTATCTGTGTGGAAAGTTTAAAATTTTTTGCATGAATAATTAATTACTCATGTGGAATATTGAGTTTTATAAAAAAAAAATAATAATAATAATAAATTCAATAGTTATATTTATAAATTGTTGTTTAAAAAAAACTATAAAAATGTTTGTGGCTTTGTTAGAAATTTGTTTGAATTAAAAACAAATATAATTCAACAAACAAATTCATTTTATTTGTTGAAATTCTTTATATTCTCATTAATAGTGATTATTCAGAAAAAGTTTTCTAATCCTTATTATTTTTAAAAAGTAGTAAGGATTAGAAAACTAAGTATTAGAAAACTAATCACTATTAACGAGAATATAAAGAATTTCAACAAATAAAATGAATTTGTTTGTTAGAAAACAAAAAGACAGGCAAAAAGTTTTGAATCTACATATGTAAAAGAATATTTTTTATTTTCATACAAATAGTTTTCTAGTTAGTTAATATATTAATATACAGATACAGTAAGATTTATGTGCATATAGAACTTATTTAGTTAAATATGTTATTTTTTGGTTATATTTATTTTAGTTAAAGAATTTATAAAATGAGTATTATTTTAGATAAAATAAAAATTTAGTAAAATTGTAAAAATATGGTTAAAACTCACTTTACTGTTTTTAAATTGAATAGCATGGAAAAGCTTATACATTATAGTTCTATTTTTACTGTTTTATGCTGTGTTTTGTATCATATTTGTAAAACAGAGATACCATAATGATTATTTTTTCCTTGGTCATCGAAGCAATGCCTTTATCTCTCATGTTCTCGTTAGCTAGATTGTTAGAAATGCCACATAGAAATTTTCTAGTTGATGACCTCAATCACATTGATATATTTCAGTTTTTTAATATATTTTTTTTTTTTTTTTTTGTGTAGTTTATCTTATGGATGAAAACTGAATTCAGTTTTGAAATATTGAAGATGTGATTAGAAAATGATAAAACCCGGTTATTATTTAAAGGAAATAGTTTTATATGGCATGGCATTATTGTTAAGAGTACTGTGTGACATAATGCATGACCTTATTTTCTTTTTCATTTATCCCTATGACAAAAAAAAAATTTAATGTTTGTTTTTCAAAAAAAAAAAAAAAAACATTTGTGTTAAATAAAATTTCTATTTGTCATTACAGAACTTAATTTTATTAGTCAGAATATAAAAATTTGGAGTTTGATTTTTCAATTTTCTTTTTTTCCTTTACAGTCAGACAAGAAATTATTCAAAATCCTTCTCTCATGTCAAATGGCCTATGGTTGTTTACAATAATTTGTGTATCTCTTGCTACCTTATTTGCTTTGATCAGTGCTGTCTTTGCCATTATCAACACTGTTTTAATACCTGTGGAAATCATTGTTGGTATTATGGGGTTATATTTATGGAATAGTATTGGAGGTAAGCGTTGTTATTAAATATATTTTTTTCTAACTTTAACATTATTTACTTAGTTTATTTTAAATAATTTTTTCATGTACAAAATATATTTGAAATGACCTCAATCAATAATCAGGAAAAAATTTTAAAAGTTCAGTGGAGCATAGTAACCTTGATTTATGAACTTTATAACATTATCTTGATATCTTTTAAATTACAAAAATATTGTTCATGAATTTAAAATTTTTATATTTATGTACAAATTTTGAATTATATCAAATGATCATTAAAATATTAAGCTATTATAATTTAGAATGAGATAAAATGATGAATTTGTTAATTAGTGAAATTATTATTCAGTAGCAAAGTAAAAATTTAGCAGTTTTTTTAAATATTGAATTAAAATAATTTTTTTAGATGAATTTTTTTCTCGTAAATAGCAAATAAAAAAATAACAATATTTTCAAAATACTGTTACAATATTCTGGATTATTATTATTTTATTTACTGTTTACCAGAATATTATTACATTCTCAAGTTTTATTCTTAAATAATATTTATGTTAAAATATAATGTAAATAAAAATGTTTATAGAAAAGTTTGATAAAGCAAGATATTAACTTGTCTCTAAAATTTTAAATGACAAATTTAAGCGAACTTTTTCAATGCTTTCAATTATAATGTCTAAAATAAATAAATACATAAATAAAATTTCAAAATTATCAATATTTTCAGAATATTAGTTAATTTATTATTTAATTGAAATATGTAAATGAACAAAAATGATAAATATCTGTGTAATTTTTATTTTGCTCTTGAATAACAATTTTTCGAATTAACAGTTTCATCATTTTATCTTATTCTATGTTATAATAATTTGATGTTTTAATGATTATATAATTTAAATTTTTTATACTATTATAAAAAATTTTAATTTCTGAGCATCTGTGTAATTTAAAAGATAGCAACAAAATTCATGACTCAAGGTTACTATGCACCATGGAACTTATAAAATATATCAAATACTGTATATACAAAACTTTAAAAATTATTTAAGATAGATAAAGTTTTTACAATATATAATGACAAATATATTAACTAATTAGTTTTGTAAAATTACACTATTTCATTTTTGAATTCTAACACTTATTCACTTATTTCAAGATCTATTAATGATTAGCTAAATTTGTCTAATTATTTCATATAAGCATTTAAAAAAAGTATAAATAAATTAATTTTTTATTGTAAATTATAAAATGTAGGTTTTAATAATAATAAACATTCATAAAATATTTTTATGAAATTCTTATTTCATTTTCTGTTTGATATGGTATGCTGATCTATGAGGAATTATGAAATTTAACTTGAATTTGAACGATTATAAGTTAAAAATAACTAATAATATGTTGTTTTTAAATAGTTCATAAGAACTTGTCCTATTTTTTAATGCATGTATGTAGATAATTGAATAAACATATTCCATTTTTTTGTCATTTATTGATTTTTGAAATTGTTTATACAGTATTATTAATCTTAAAAATATGATCCTCTTAATCATTTTTTAAATTCCATCAAGTAAATTTTTTACAGCCTATACAAGCATATTTATGTTACTTTCACTATAATTTAATAGAAAGTGATATTACAGTCAACATTTTATGATATTATATAATATCATAGTGTATTCATCATTCATCATACTGTATTCATCATGTACATCATTTGTACGTCTATAAATTTAATTTGCTCTCTAATTTTAATTTAAATGTGTTATTATTATCGAATTTTATGAATATAGATGAAACTGGAAATTGTACATCTGAGATTCTTGATTTTTGTCATAATGCATGATTAGCTAAATTTACAAATAGAGGAAGGTATAATTTACAAATAGAGAAAGGTATAAAAGATTCAAAAATTTCCACTGGATATTAATTAATGATGCATAATGGATAGAGAGAATCAGATTAAAAGAATATAAAACATCTTTCATATTCCAAATTAATGAAACATTTTAAATTTAGACAAATAAGTTTCAAAATGTAAACATCATATTTATCTTTCTAGACTGTTTCTAATATTTTATTATTTTTCTCTTGATAGAACTGTGATGCAAATGTTTTTTTAATGTTTACTACCTAGTTATTTTTTTATTCTTTTGTGTTTTAAGCTTTATAAACTTTTAATATGCTTTCTTAGCTGAAATGTATAATGTTAGTTATGTAATGTATAACGTCAGTCTTTCAAATAAAAAACATATAGTAACTTTTTCTTTAAAAATAGTACATTTAATTTAATTACACTAAATTAAATTAAATTACATTTTACTAGTAGAAAATATTGTACTTTTTATGAAATTTTTTTATTTAGATGTGCTGAATAAAAAGTAATTTATAAAATTCAATAACCTATATTCATCTTAATATAGGTGAGAATATTTGATAGTGATCATGTATTTCCTTGTGCATATTGATTGCAAATTCATATTATTAAGATTATTTACATAATGAATAAATATTTAATATTAATTAAAAATTTTGTTTATTAATTTCTTTTCTAAATGAAATTATTTTAGGTCTAGTTTTGTAAGAATTTCAAATTTTTTAAGTTTTTATCAAAAGATAATGTATATTACAGTTTAAAAAATAATTTACATGTATTTAAATAAAAGTTATGTATTATTGATAATAATAGCAGTGTTGTTCATATTCCAATTCAAACTTTTGTGAAATTTGATTTTCTTTAAATAATATGAGATTAAAAAGTTATTGCAAAACTATTTCCTCAAGTTAAAATATTTGAAACTATAGGAAGTCAAACTTAACTGTGTCAAAATTGAAGTGCCCTCACTCAGCATAAGTAAATCAAAAAAACATAACACCTTAATTTGCTGAGAAAATCTATTAGAAAGGCAAAAAGAAATTAATAGAATATTATATATTGCCAGATCTCTAGGGTACAGAGAAGATATGATAACAACATTGATCAGAAAATATAAAATAAACAAAACTAAAGCTCAAAACTGTGATTTCAGTAAAATCACAAAGTTCACTTGTGATAGAAAGAGAAAAGCCATCATGAAGGAAATCTCAGCCTGCAAAAAGTCCAATTTAATTTTCAAGAGAGCTCCTAACCTGTAAAAATTATTAAGGAACGACTAAGACAGCATAGATAAAGAAAAAAGAACAGGAGTGTACAGGATTCCATATGAAAATCGTGAACTAGACATTAATAAAAATTATATTGGGGTCACTAATAGAAGTTTAAGAGTCGGATTAAAAGAACATAAATACAATATCAGCAATGGATCTAATGCCACAATACTATCGCAATTGGCCCAAGTTGAGGGCTCAATCGTCAAATGGACAAAGCAAGTATTATTAAACTAGTACATTCACCGACATTGGCGATGTGTGCCAAAAAAATTGAAATACATAAGAGCAGATTGCATGATGCATGCATTAATTCTAGAGATTCTGAAGGATTGCCTTCGGCATGGAAATACTTAATCAAACAATTAGACAGCTCTTAGTTTAATGCCTTAATTTTAGTATTTTTTTTTTTGCATATCTTGCATTTCATTGAATTTCTATGTAATGTTTTAATATTTAATTAACCTATGCTTATTTTTTCATATACATATTTTGTTATTTATAATAATAATTTTTATTTTATTTTATTTTTCTTTATACATTTATATATATATATATATATATTTATTTGTTTATTTATTTCACTCGTTATTTTATTTTATTTGTATTTAAATTTTTGTTGTTCTATTTTGTTTAAATTTGAACATCTTAGCCTGATGATGGCCAACAGATTTGTCTGAAAATGTTTGCTTCTTCAATAAATTTTCTCAGCAAATTAAGGTGTTATTTTTTTTTTTTTGACTTAACTGTGTGAATGACTTATATGATGAGATATATTAATAGAGTAATGTCAATCAATTTATATGCAGTATTTCATAGTTTTTATCGTGTTAAAAACAAATTTTATTTTAATATTTTTATAAATTAAAATTTTTTAACAGGTGAAAAATAATTATTATGTTTATATTTCAGCTTTATTCTCATTAGCTGCAGTTATTAGTTGGACCATACAGTATTTTACTAAATTAAAAGACAATGTTATGACTACTGAAGAACAAGATCAAAATTGGACATCAAAAGATAAAGCATGGTTGGGATATAGTTTCTGGTTTGTTGTGATAGTAATAATTTTCTTTCTTTTAAATATTGGTTTAGTGACATTGGCATTACAGCAGCCATGGGAACGTCGAAAACCAAAACCAGTGTCAGAAAAAAATCCTGAAGGAGTGATCATGTTATATTAAGATTGATCTATTTAACTCTTTAAAAACTTTTTTGTTATAAAAATATTTTACATTCTGGTAGAAAAACAATTAACTTGAATCTCAATATTTAATTCCTTTTGGAAATTTATAAAAAGAATAGTTTGACAGAATTCAATCTAGTCTAAAAATGTATTGCAAATTACATGCCTCAGGTTCCTGTACAATATTCAAGTCATAAGATAAGACTGTATTTCTGTATATTTTCTTAAAACAATTTATTTTTCATCATTCTAATATTATAAACATATTGAAAATATTTTACTTTTAGGACAGGCTAAAAATTTACATTGAAAAATTTTCATGTGAAAAAACTTGATTATGTAAATGCTTGTAAATATCTGAATTTTATTTCAGTTAATTTACAGTTGCTTTTATAATTTTAATGTATTGTTGACCCTCTATATAATATACTAATAGGAACAAGCAGAAGGCCAATATCTGTTCTATCTGAAGATGTCATAGTCAAGTATAAAGCAAACTTTATATGAGATATAATGTTCAAAGAATCTATATTCTGGTAAATACTAGCAAATGTCACACTTTCAAATGGAACAATAGCTTTCAATATGCTGCCTAAAAGATGTTCTGTGCTAGTAATTGCAATTTGATATTTTCAGATATTGTAATTCCATTCTGATAGATGCATTGAAACAAACAGATTTAGTTTGGTTTTTCTGCAGTTCATTTATATTGAGGTTCTGAAATACTTTTGAAATAAGGCTTTAAGTATAATTTGCTCATAAAATCTAATATGATGAAGTCAATTTTTTTAATTGTTAAATATTGATCTCAGGATAGCAAATGTAAAATTTTAGAATTATAATTTACAGTATTTATAAAATATTTAAGTGTGTACATTAAATTTAAATAGCTATGAAAGAATAACAACTTTCTAAATAATGAATTTTATTTATTTTGAAAATATACTGAAAAACTCAATGATATTTTCTCAAATTAGCCAGTTGGATTTTTAAATATATTTATTATTTACTGTGAATTTTTATATATATGTACAATGTTTTTAACATATTAGATTATATGGCGATAAGTATATCTTTACAAAAAATTATTTATTTCCAGTATGTTTAATTAAACATTTCCAGTAGTATTATTTTACAAACATCTAAATATTCATTACTGTAGTAAGTTTTTCTAGTCAAGGAAGTAATCTCCAAGATTATAACTGAAAGTTTATTTTCTACACAAAAGCTTTTAATTATTCAAAAGTAAGTAAAAAATCATTTTAATTGTATAATAATTATAACATTGCAAAATATCATATTTATTCAAATATTACATAGTCTTGATTTGATACTTTGGAATGAATTAGAAATGTGATACATATTAAGGTTGTGATAATTTAATATTCATTGACTTTTTTTAGATCAGCTTGATTAATATGATTTATCAGTAATCAAGAAATTATATAAATGAAAAATGGTTTCTCCAAGAATGTGTAAGTTATATTTGAAGAGAAAATAGATGAATTTAAAATATTTTAATCATTATGTTTAAAATCAAGCCTAATTTGATTTTATCCATTGAACTGTTTAAAACAAGCACAATAGCTTTTCTTTAGCATCAACTCTTGTGGGACTAAGTGATGTAAGGATTGATGTTAACTAATAGTTAACATTAAAGAGTATTATGCAATTTTAGCCTCAAAGTTTTGCATAAACAGGGAGCTATTTCAGTTTGCATTTCATTTCAAGACTGCAGTTTGTTTCAGATTAATATTGTTTCATAATTCTTTAAATAAAAATTTAAGTAATCAGATGCATATAACAAGAAAAACTAGGATATAAAAGAGTCATTTTAAAAAATTTGTTATAAAAAAATTGATATATTTAGATAAAACAAACTTTATATGAGATATAATGTTTACAAAGAATTTAACTAATTTATCAATAAGTGAATCTATATTCAGATTTTCTTGAGGTTTAGTAAATCAATAAAGTTATTTCAGCATGGAGAGCATCTGCTGTAGTAGGAACTATTGTATTATTGTATTGTATTATTAAGGAACCATCCTTAGTCATTCAACATCACTTCTTGATCATTATTAAATTAAATTTGACATTTTTAAAACAAAAATCCTTAAAATAAATGTACTGTATAGTACAATATACAGTAATTTCATTTAGCAAATTGTCTATTATATGAAACTTTTTAAACCTTATGAAAAGACAGCCAAAATGCCAGAAAAAATTCTGACATTTTGAAAACAAAACTCAACTAAATTTACTTATATTTTGGTGAGACTTTACAAAAGCATTAATACAAAATCTGGAAGATAAGCAGAAAGAACATGGATATTAAATGATATTTAGTACACAATACATATATTTTAGACTAGAAAAAAAGGTTGTTGGTAACTATAAGCAGGTTTCCCTTAGGAAGAGTTAAGTGTACACTAAACTATAGGATTTTTCCAGGACATCAAAAATTGGCAATCTTAATATCAACACGTTCAGATTCACTGTTGTTTAACAAAAGTCCTCTACATACTTTCCTTAATGTAGTTAATTATGCTGCACAGTTCTTCATAATATATGATTTTTTCAAGAAGAAAAGGATTTAAAAACAATTATTTTTCTATTAAATAATAAATGTTATTGGTAAAAAGTCAATGCTTTTTGCATCATAAATAATGCAGAAATATTTTTATTAATATATTGTGAATAATAATCATTTTCTTTTACAGAAATTGATTGTAATTTGATTGAAGAAATAGATGTTAAAAACTAAGTGTAGTGTACATTTTATTCTCTAACATATTACATAGTAATATATACCTTATAATAATTATATTGACTCCTGTACAAGAGTGAAGTAATTGTCTAAATCACTTCTTGTGAATGTTCTTCCATTTCTAAGAGGATGTTTTATGATAATGCAAAGTTCCTTGAACTTGTTAGAATTTACTAAATTGCATAAAGGATGACAACAAATCAGGTCAGTAACCATATTGGAAAATATGCTACAAAAATACATAAGTTAAGTATCAAACAGTAAAATACCTTGAACTCATTATAGATAATTATATAATATATCAAAATAAAGAATGTGTTGTCATATCATGCTTTAAAAATGTATGTCCTTCAATTAAACTGTAGCTGCTTTTCTTTTTTATTTTAAGAGATTTTTTTAATAAACATGCAAATACAAAAGCTAAAATGAATTCTTTTCTGGCAACACACAATATTAAAAATCTATGCTATATCAAATTTAGCAAATACAAATTACTACAAAAGTAGAAAATATAATTATTATCATTTTTTCTGATGTGGAAACAAATCTGATTTGTAATAGAAAAAATATGTTGTTATAAATAGTGCCTTTTATAAATCAAAATTTCTGGTTACTGAATTCATCTATATTCATTTACAGTGATGATAAAAGATAATGATGATTTTATACGAAATATTAAATTGTCACAGCTTTTGATATAAAAAGAGTGAAGTTGAATGTAAACTAAATAAGATTCTAAATCCTAATAATAATTTTATTATCATGTGAATCTGAATTTTGAAAATGTAACAGGTTTGTTTTCTCATTATATAAAATAAAAATTTTAATTAAAATATATGGAAGAAACAATATTTTTATAATGAAAATTGAATGAAGTTTCAAATTAGATCTAAACATTTTCATATAAAAGGCCATTTATAAATCTTGGTTGCCAATATTATAAAAAGATAGACTAAATATTAACTTGTAGATTATATGATAGCAGTTACTCTATGAATCACTTTTGAAATATTTCATTTATCAAGTAATAATTTGATTGTTGTTTTTCTTACATGTAATTTCATTTACTTATTAATGTATTAATATTGCTAAATTGTGTGTGTTTGTTAGATGGCACATCAACATTTTTTTATGATTCACATTATTTTTCTATGTAAATAAATTGTATGTAAATACATTTTATCATAACACTGTTTCATCAAAAATAATTTGTATATTAAATAATTTTTAAAGATGCACTTTTAAATGTAATTATAGAATAAAGTCATTGCATGGTATTTTTTTAATATTACTAAATATGAATTGTGTTTGGGTTATATTATGGCTAATATTGAACTTTGCACAGATGTTAGCATTAAACAATAATTTTTTAATATTGTTTTGATTTTAAATATTAAAAAATAGAGAGAATTTTTTCATTGATAATTTGTCAATGCACTGAAATTATTACTGTATTTAACAGTAGTGAGTCTTTAGTCTTTCTAATACAAACTAATTTTTATATGGGTGATGTTTGGATTATTGAAAATTGTTCTTTATTTTGTTAACTCAAAAAAAACTACAGACAAATACAGTATAACATTTTAAAAAAAGATATGTACCTGGTAAATATATGATAGCCTCCATTTATTGTAATCACAGGTAAAGTTATCAAAATTAGGAAGCCCTAAAACATACATCATTAAAACTTTACTTAATAATCATATTCGGGTAAATAGGTCTTTTTATGCTTTATTTTCATGCTGGCATCCTCAACATTTGACTAATAACATTAATTAAAATTGTTGATTGTACCCAGTGCTTTAGTCACTTGTATTGTGAGTAAATAAGTCCCAAAATAAGTAATGATATTGCAAAGTGATTACAATAAATGGCACCTATTGTATTTGTCAAAATGTGTAGTGTGTATTAATTTTTTAAAATCATGTTTTTATGAGTTTTTGTTTTTGGCTACATTTTGCATTGTAACAAAATTAGTTTGGATTTTGCTGAATTTAGTGAATATGTATTGTATTACATAATAAATAATACTACTATTGATAAAAGAATAAGTTAAAAAACAAATAAAAAAATTACATTTGAATGTTGTATTAAATGTACTGTATTATTTTAAATTTAAGATGCCTGTTTTTTTATGTATTTGAATTTAAGACATCCTAACTTTAAATTCCATATGTTCTGCTTAAATTTGGATATTTTGTCATCTTCAAGTCTATCTATAATAAAAATTCTCAGAAAATATTTTTAAAATAACAACAGTTACTATACTTTAAAAACATTGTTTTTACTTCTAATACTTTTCTTATAGATTTTGTGAGAGTGCATCTTAAATTGAAGTAATATAATAATTTATTATTTTCTTGAATGTAATACATAGTGAATGAAGTTCAACCATTTAAATTTATATTATAACATAAGTATAAATCTCTACACCATGTATTTTTAGAATAATTTTTAACACAATATTTAAAGATATTTTTATTGGCCAGTATAAATATTGTCAAAAATATTTACATTTTTATATCAAATTTTATATACTATATTGAATGTTTTTAATAATTGGTGGTGTGTGGAACTAAACATTTTGTAAGTTATGCTGTGCATAACAATTCATATTCAGGTCACAATTTATGTATTTTGCACAAAAGTTTTGATAAAATAATTTTTTATATTGTATGAATATTTTTTATAAATAAATTTTATACATGTATCTAATATTTTAATGGCAAGTTTGCATTACTCTACAACATTTTAATTGAATCACTCTGTCTGCATTTTGTTTTTAATGATTTCCTTAAAAATATACAATCAAGTAACAAAAACAATTTTGATATTAAAATGTTAGTGAATTTGAAAAAGATATATATAATAATTTTACATATGATAATTAGATGGTGGCTGAGAGGATCAAGATATGTCTCTTGTTAGACAAATCCTTGGGAATTTTGTGAATGGTTTAACACTTGGTCTATCAAGTACCTGAAATATAACTCATGCTTGGTACAGAAAACTCCTTTTGATGCTTGGAGTGGAGAAGACCAGACTTATGCAATATTATGAATTTAATTATACATTATGTATTTTATCTAATACTTCATATGATGTAATAATCAACATTTTAACAAATATTGTCCAAAAGCTAAAAAATCTTTATATTTTATTGATAGCATCTTGATAAACACACTTTGAAAAAATCCAGCAACAAATTGCATAACTTTCCCAATTGTTATGAGATTTAGTAATAACCAAAAAAATGGCAAAGCCATTTTTTGGACAAGACTGTCTTGGAGAGTGCGAGCAATGCATGCACAAATCTTGCACTCGTGCCTGTTTGTAGAAAGTCTTAGCAGTTTGTATTTTCTTTTGACCCTTTGAGACTGTACCTACAAGTCTGTTTTGACTCAGACTTGTAGGTAGTCCCCTGACTACTTACAAGTCTGGTTTACTTTACATGTGCATGATTTGGGCATCAATGTGCCAAATTGCAACTCCTAACATGTCTGGGTATGTTGGGGCATGATTTTTTTTGTTTCAAGATTCCTGAACCAAAAGATCTTTATATGTTGAAGAGATAGGGTAATTTTAAAATAGTTAAATGACCCCCTCTTTTACATGTAATCACTCATACTAGTAATTTTACCTGAAGATTTAAAGGTAATAGTAACAATTATTAAGGATGAAAACAAATAAATAATGCTGAGAAAGTCTAGCAAGAATGTTATAAGCTGTTTTTAAAGTTATGTAGGTGTGAGGTTGACTGTGGGAAGGGAGTCAGTTTGCCTGAAGTCAAGATGAACAAGGGATAAGGGATGGTATTGAATAATGATGGACATACTGAGGCAAAGTATCTTTACAAATGAAACCCATTTATTTGGAAATAAACTAGTAGTTTGCAATTTCAAACAAAGGATATTCCACTTGAATTACGATATAAAGAGTTCAATTCATTCCAGTAAAGTCCCATGATATATCGGTAGCCCTGGGGAGACGGGATGGGCAATAGGTCTGAGGATATATTGATGTTGCCTGCAGTTTAGCAAAGATGGATGCGATAGCACTTTATTGTGTCCTGCTATTGTGACTACAATAGCAGGACACAAACATAGAAAAAGAGATGTACATTGTTACCTTGTAAACTTGAGAGAAGAAAATCTGCTATTTGTCCTTGAAATTTGGGGTTTTTAAAAGATTTTATTCCTAAATTCTATGCTCTGATTTATCCTGATTCTCTCTCACCATTTCCTAATTGGTCTTTCCTTTGTTTCCAGGTGGAAATAAGTTCAGATTAGGCCAGGAGTTAATGAGAAAGGTGAGTAGTATAAAATATAACAGTATAAAATTCAGAATCATATCTCTACTCTGACCAGGAGATATTGATGGAACTTCAAAAACTGTGCTTGTATTTTAGATTGTTAAAATTTGTAGACATCAGAATGAGAACTATAATAACAATTTGTGAGATTTTTCTTTCATTAAACTGTTCAGTTTCTGTGATTCAATTAAATTCTGTCATTTTTATATGAGCATCAGAGTCAAAGTTCAAACTATCCAGTCTGACATTGATTTAGATACTAACATGTGTATTCAAATTGAACTTTGTTTACATTCGCATTGCTTTGTAAGTTCTGTGAGTCTTATTTCCTTTTGATATTAAAATATATTTTTAACACATTTAACAGAAGGTTCAAACTCTGTCTGGAACTTATATAGATATTGTTATATATTGTTATTCACATATTGTTATCAGTTGTCTAACTATCAGAATCAACATGTCTAAATACAATTACAAAACCTTTGATCAGGAATTTGCTTATAATTATTGGAATTTACTTACAGTCAATAACAGCCAACAGACAAAACAGGTGATAATGGTTATAAGCCATGCTGTTTCAATAAAAACATTAGCACAATGATCTATTTAAACTAAAATTTGTTCCTTAATTATCCAATCATATACAATGTTTAACATACAGTATTAAGAGTAAAGATAAACTTGAAATTTTAGAATGCTATGAAATTTGCAGAAAATGAGTCAATACAATGCTGCTGCACAGTTAAAAATTTTACAGTCAGTTCTGTACAAGATTTTGAAAACAGAGTGAATATTGAAATTAGCCTTGAAACTATCTTTTAATTTTTTTCTACTAACTCAACTTCACTTTGTTTAGTAATGTTGATGAAAAAAATACACTTGTTAATGGTCCATTAATGCATCAAAGCAGAAGCATTAACTAAAATGTGGAAAAGAAAGATTTTATTACAACCAGTGGAGAAAACAAGAATATTATGTACAGTACTTGTGAGGAGAAAAGTTCTGATTTTGAATAGCTGAATTGTGGATAAAGATAGAATTGCCAAAAGTTATTGATGAATATTCACTGAGAAATATTTGCAGGTTATACAGTAGTCACCAATGAACTTAGACCAGGTCGCAGTTAACATGTCATCCAATAAATAGGTTTTAAAAAAAAGTAACTTTGATTCATTGCACGAATGTTTTTCATAATTTAAAACAAATATACAGTAATTAATCTTTATTTTTGCTAAATATCAACTTGATATCTTGTAAGTTTAACAAAATTGAACCAAACTTGAATCACAGGCATCAAAAAATATAGACCATTGCATCACCCATTTGTTAACATGTTAACAAATGGGTCTGAGTAACTGCGGCCTGGTCTAAGTTCAGTCGTGACTACTGTATGTGGAAATTAAAGTACCAGCTTTATTCAAATAATAGTCAAACATACAGTTTAAAATAGTAGCCATATCTGTAATTATTATTTGAGGATGGTTATTTCTTTGCACATACTTTATTAATAATGGACATTAAACAGATATTTAAATATTCATTTATGAAAGTTTTAAAAATCAAACAAATTATACTTTAAATGAAAACTGGTATCTCTATAAGATAAGAAAATGTACAATACACAGTAGGTGTAGTTTTTATTTTACATATTAAAGTTTGTTTGTTACATAAATATGGTACCTATCTGCCATAGTTTAGGGTAATAATGCAAAATTAATAAATATAATAATTTTTTCAGAAATCCTCAAACTGAATAACTGGTTTTCAGTAAACTGTGGTTTTAGTAAAAACTGAAACTGATTTTGAGCAGGTAAAGAAATCAATATCATTGTGTACAATTGATAGAAGCAATTATACAGTTATGACTTCATGTTATAACAGCCAAGCTTTTTAGTTCTTCAGGTAAGTACACAAGACAACAAAGCTGTATTTATTAGTAAGTAATTCTGAAACCTTTGGCCTTAGACACAATGAAAAGTTTTGAATATGTTTTGATGTAACTTTTAATAGAATAAAACTAATTAAACATGGTTGCACTACATTCTGCATTAAATTATCTTTATAATGATTTGTAAATATTTGGTATTATTCTAAAACAGACGTTTATCTTGGTATTATTCTAAAACGCCTGTTTTAGAATAATACCAAGATGTTACGAGCCATCAAACCTCAGAAATATACTGTATATTTTCCAAAAGATTTCCTACAATTTTGGCTACTACTGTATATATAGCCTTAAAAAACTGAAAAATAACTATGAGGACATCTCTCAATAATCTCAGAAATTTTTTATTGAGCTACTTTAAAAAAAATCATTCTTGTTTAGTAGTTAAATTTTTATAATCCCAAAGATGATTATTACAGAATTTTAATATACATACATAATTCAATTTTCAATCTTTAGCAATCTTTTAAAGTCAATAATTACATACAAATTTGACAATACAGTAACATTATAGTTAGTAATTTGTTATGTAAAGAGCAAAAATACTTTCATTGCTATTTGGATATAATTAACTAAATAGCATGTACAGTACAATTAATGAAAAAAAGTCTGTTAAACCATTATATGGGGAGAAAAAATTGAAACAACATTAATAATGATTTGGTATCAATTGTTTTTACTATATTATAAACAGACATTCTGAGGCTTCACATTATGTTATTATGTAAAGAAGTG